TCAAGGCAAACTTTTCATGCAAAGATAGGGAGCAAATACATTAACAGGGTTGCCGTGTTTTCAGTTTTGGAGTCCCCAAATAAAGTGGCAGCCCTGTCAGTGTATATGCTCCCTATCTTTGCATGGAGAGTTTGTCTTGATCTAGAGGTGGACTCTCAGAGTAGGGTGGGATATCCCCTCCATTTTGGCCTCAACTTGAGAGCTTATTTTGAGCTTGGGAGATGATCTCAGAGAAAACCAGTGGCACCATCCTGTTTTTCGCGACGTTTTACACGAGAATCACTAGTCAAATCGCAAATTCCTCGCACATGCAACATCTCCATTCTCCGCAAAATGTAGTGCGATTTCCGGAAGACGTCGCGAGCAGAACCGAAGTCGGAAACGAACACGGTCCAGCGCACCGGTCCAGTCGCCGACGAACCAAGTTTTCCGCAGTCGGTCGTGGTCCAGTGAAGCTGCGGCTCGATTTTTGAATCGATATCGAATGACGTCGATCGATAAAAAGCATGGCCAAGATAAGGATGTATCGATCACGTAGCTGTGATCCAAAAAGATCCAATCGATTTGCGATTTTCGACGGCTTTGAGTCCAGGAGCGTGGATGCATCGGGGTCCAATGGTAGGAGAGTGGTAATAACTCGGGTTATCTGGTCCAGGCTGCGACTGCGAACTGCAACTGCAGTGGGACGGCGGACCCGGGCCCGATGCGGGATGCGGTGTGCTATTGACCTGCTTAGCTCATTTCGCTCATCGGGCAATGGGCATTTGACGCGGTCACTCGGGTCTGGAGCACTGCGAGCGACCTATAACATCCTTACTCTCCGTGAACGCCCGTCTTCTCCGGCTCGGGTTGGGCCGATTAGCACCCATTATTCCTCCGATTCCCGCAGAGATTGGATCCCAGCTCCAGCGTCTCCAGTTTTTGCGGACTCGGTGGATCATCTTCATCTTTATCGGGAGAGTATTGCCATATGGGTGCAGCCTCTCACAGTGTTAGAAACGGGCCGTTCACGCCGAGTTCAATTCGGTAGTCCAGCATTTTCCGCCGTTCATAGTTGTTAAAGTGGGAATACAAATCTCTTTCTTCTCTATTTGAAGAACATTTTGAGAACATGCCAAGCAATGAAATTAGCTCTTCCCTGGAAGAGAGTATGACGGGACCGAAAATTTCGGAACATCTTCATCCAGATACGTATTTCTGTGGTTTGGAAAGGAGTACTGCACTCGACTAAAGGGCCGAGTGGCGGGACTCAGAGCCTCCGGAGCGCTCCAGTAGCCCACTTCACAGGGTAGCGGGGTGTTTTAAGTTGAGACAAAACTAAAAAATGTCAGCATTATAATTTACAATTGGACGTATTTATGCCAAAAGGAACTACGTGCATAGAGTTTGCGTGTAACATAGCTCATTTTACAATAAATACGTCCAATTTAGATTATAATGAAGAAGCTTATCTCACTCAAACTTAAATCCACAATTCAATCCCTTCATCGAGCGCTTTATTTTATGAACGTTTTATTCTCCTCCTGCAAAATGTAACGCTTTGGAATCGTGAGGGTCTAAGACGGTTTGATTCAAGTATAGAACGTGCCCTCTTCCTAGCTGGGGCACAACTTGGCAAGGTCTAGATTTGACTCTGCTCGAAAGATGGTGCTTTAAACGTGGAGTCGGGGAACGGGGATTAGCGCGGGGCAAAGTGCAGCGAGAAACGGTGACTTGCATCGCTCGATGAACGATGACTCGCACTGATTCCGCCGATGCGGTCGCGGTCCACCGACGAACGATGGAAGCTCCGCGGTCCCCAACCCCCCTCCCCCCCGGGGGTCCCTCTCCGGTCCCCCATCGTAAAAATCCTCCCGCATCGCTCGCGTAGCTGTCACCGCTTTAATTGATCCGTAATTAGGATCATTGACGTCGCCAAGCGCGGCAGTTTCATTCCATCGTGTTTAGTTTCATTCAAAAGTAAAAAAGAGGTCTAAAGTAGATTGATAAAGGTAGGAGGAACAAGGCGTGGTGGCACACCAAGACATTCTTCTTGGAAAGTGGGCCCAAAATTAAAATATTACCAAAAATCGCGAAAATAATGAGTATATTGAGTAATATATTTCCTATTGGATTCTTAAGGGGCATTATTTAATGTAATAAAAAATGACCGTGTTCCAGATAGTGGATTAGCATCACGTCATGCAAAATATTAATTGGGAGGCATAGATAGAGCGGAAGTAAGTGGAAGTATCGATGATACACTTTGCATCCTGCACTCAAAGCGGTAGTTATTACCTAATTATTCCGCCTGAGATATCCACATCCAAGTGATGCTCCCCCGAACGCTCACTCGTAAAACCTGTGTGGCATACGAAATGCGTGGAAGACGAGAATACCCTTTTCGAGCGGTGGAAATCTACCAGAACTATTCATGACAGCCATTGCGCTTTTGCCCCTTTTTTCTGGAAAGTGCGTAACACCATCATTTGTAGGTTTTTTCCATTTCAAAATTTTTTATGGCTTGACGTATTTTCACAGCTCTGTGTTTCCCGTGAGAGGAAGTTCAGAGTTTGCAGTTTTAAACCCTTCTGGAATCAATCGCTTGAATAAGCTTACATGTTGTATTCTGAACTTCAGGAAAAATCGTTAGGATAATCGCGAAAGGATTCAGGATGCTTGAAAGCGTGCAGAAGGAAGACAATTTTCAAAGAAAAATCGCCTCTAAAATTTAGACTTCATTGCAGATACAAATTTTGAAAGATAGACTCTTGCCGTCGAAAGCAACATCTCTGTAACTTATTGCAGGCAACACATACTGAATGTAAATTTATGCTGGTCTCTAACGATCAACCTCCAAAAATCAAAATTTATCGTAGCGCAAATTAACTGCCAGAAACTTGAAGCTCTTCAAGTTCTATTTTTATTAAATGAGTTGGATTTATTGCAACTACGGTAGCTACAGGAGAGTTTGAACTTATTTTAAACTCTTTTCCAGCACGGTAGCAATATTTCAACGTTATTAGACCCGACGTCGCCCCTCCAGCGTAAGGGCGTATCTCAAGTTCCACGTGAACCCTGTTTTACGTGTCAATCCATTCTTTCTGGGGCTCATGCGTAAGTGGAGATACGCCCTTACGGGGTGAGTTCTACGGGCGGATTTTCCTCGGATCTCGACGGATGTCGGATGTGGAAAGAGCGGCAGGAGCATCCAGCGATAAATGGCCGCGCCGGGCGTCATGGGTGGCCATTGTTGACAGATAGTGATAAAAAATTCGCACTTTCCCCACCAAAACCCATTTGAGATTTGTGAAATATCCACATTTTATCGCATAGCCTGGCAACCTCGAGGGTGGCTCCGTCTCGGGAAAGGAGCCGAATAAATAAACGATCCGTGGAGCCCATTTATTCGAGGCACATCTTCACCTTCATTCAGCTCCGTAATTAGAGCTTCTTGCACCGTAAGTCGCGTTCCGGAACCTCTTGCTCTACCGTGCCATGGAATAACGCCGTTTAAGCCATCGCGCGTTGGTGAAATTTCTTTGACAAATCACAAATTTTCAATGAAATTTATGAATACTTCTCCTCCGAGTTTTCAGCGAATTTCGTCCGTAATTTAGATCTAAAAAGTCTGAAAATTTCAAGGACAAATACTTATAACCTACTTCAAGAGTAAATACTTTTTGAGCGGAAATTTGGCAACATTCGGATGTTCTTACGGCGTTTTTACTTAGCACGGCTGCGCTCTCCAGCGCTCCCTCGACGGTGGTGCAATGACCCACTTTCGCCCTTTTCGCAAGCTCAAATGGCTCATAGCGAGCTTTTCAAAGTAAGTCCAAGACAGGATTCGCGACGCCTTGAAATGCCCTTGGATGTACCTTCATGTTTTTTTTCGAATTTTCGAATCCTATAAAATTCTTGCAGGGTGATAGCTTTTTGAATAGTCAGAGAAAGCCTGACAAATACGGGAATTTTTCCGTTGAACCTTGAATCGTTAGGTCGATTGAAAACATCGCATGTGTTCGATTTAGAAAGACTTAAAATTTTTCGTGGAAAGAATTTGTATGGAAACTCCTCTGTGCGCCGAGCTGGGCTTATAGCTTTTTCGAATGGAGCTCCGCGTGCTGCATGCGTGCATCAGTAGCGAGCAGTTTCTCCGCTCGTAAAGTTGGCGTCTCGTGTTTTACCGGCGCCATTGGCTCACGTGACAGAATCAAGTCCGCGCCGTAAAAGCGGGGCACGAAAGTCACGTGTCCGTCGTCGGGTTCATCGAATCTGCGCTTCCCGAAATTGTGGCCGCGTCGATTCGCATCCGACCGAGTTCCTCGCCGATTCGTAATCATCATCGCGTCTCTTTTTTTACTCACACGTTTTCTTAGGTTCCAGCACGTTAGTTGGAGGTTAAGAAATAACAATCCAAGAAACATAATTGGGTCTGGCAAAAGTTGATGCTACTTTTCACCTCAATAGGCAACGGTACTTGGTTTTTTTGACCCCCTCTTCCCTCTAGTAATGTTTTTGTGACGTACTGCCGTGCTAAGGATGAACGTCGTATGGACATTCGTGAGTTGTCAAATTTTCCTCGATAAAACGTGTGTATTTTTGGCGATTTTCATGCATATTTTTTCCTAAAATTTTCAGATATTTCAGATTAAATTGCTCACAAAATTGTCTGAAAATTTTGATAAAAAATGTTTACAAATTTCCCAGTAAATTCGGTTTTTATCGACGGAATTTGGCAACGTCTGACGGCTCACACGGTGTTCTTCCTTAGCATGACTGCGTAGGCCCCTATCCTTTGATGTGTAGAAACAAAATGGCGTAACGTTATCATCCTCGAGCTAGCGTTACGCATCTCATGAAAGGCCCTTAATGATGTTCGAGGAACAACTTGTTGAGCATAAAATTGGCCACAAATTTCGCGATTATGCCAAGAACCAAAAATACTCCGATGTCTCAAGAGCAGCCCGCCGAAGTGAGGAATCATAATTTTAACGAAAATATTTTCACTGCGTTTCAAGGCGGAAGAAAGTGTGGGATTTGCAAGGAGTTACGTGATAGCCAAGTCGGGCTGAAGAGACGATGACTGCGGTTCTATAGCGAAGGCAGAATGAAAATCCGGCCGTACCCTGGCCGGGCGACGCCGGCGTGCGAGCTGTACGAGCGGAAGCCCCAGTACGAGGACAGCTGGCGGGAGTGCACCCAGCAGCTAGGCCTGGGCAGCCCGTCGGGGATCTACCTCGGGGCCAAGGCATCGTCGGCGACGAGCTCGGAGCAGCTCTACCCGAGCGACTGGGACGATGAAGACGCCGAGCACAACGCCAAAGTGACCCAGATGCTGGCCAGCCTCCGCCTCGACCAGATCACCCGCCCGGGCCCCAAGCCCAGCAACGAGGTGAGCCTCGAAGACGGCCTCTTCGTCAACAACCCCCAACCAGAACCGGAGGCTGAAGACCGACCCCAACGTGCTCGTCAGCGGGTCCCGCCCGAGTTCAAGTCCTACTCGAGTCTCAAGAGGACGCCCTCGGTACTGTTAAACAATTCTAGTCACGTGCTCGTGCCGGAGACGAAACTGTTCGCGGTGCAGCCCAAGTTATCCAAGACTGATGTGTCCTACGCGGACTGGGATGCCGCCACCGGCGACGACGAGCTCAACTGCCCCGGGTGCCAGGAGCCCGCGGGGGGCGCCCCGTCGCCGGACAGCCCGGCCAAGTTCCTCAAGGAGTCTTTCTCCATCGACGCCGACTACAAGACGACGATCGTCCTCGACCAGGCGAGTCGGCCGCCGGAGACCCCGCCGCCACCGCTCCCGCCCCCGTCGACCGCCACTGCCGCCGCGGTTTCCAACCCGGATGACTTCCTCATCCCTAGACCTAAGTTGATCGTTCCTGTCCACACGTATGGTATCCGGAAGCGGCGCACGGGGATCATGTGGAAAGCCGGCCGGCGGGGCAGCGACGCCGAGACCGTCCTCAGCGGCAGCTCCTTCGACAGCAAGAAGCACACCTCTTGTCCCGGACCAGGTAAAACCTCAATTTCATTCTTCCTAACATATGGATCGAACTATGGATCTGTTGTGAGATCAGAACTTTGGTAGTGAGAACAGAGTTCAGACCAAAGTTCTGTTCTCACAACAGAAAAATTCTGTAAGTGTAACAAAGGAACTGCAGGAGCCCTGTGAAGGTTTTGTCGTCAGCACCATCTATTTTCTTCTGTGCTGTTTGTTGAAGTTGATAGACGAAGCGATAGACGTAGAAGACGAATGGACTTGGAGCGATTTTATCGGTGGAAGCGATCGGTGGTTGCAATGCACAAAGAGGCATGAGTAACAGTGGCGAGGCGTGATTGATCAACTATCGATGATTCCCCATTTGAAGCCGTGGCAAAGAATCGATTGTTAAGGTGTTCGTTGTGAACATCCTGTTTGTCGATACTTTTCCATAGGTTTAAATAGCAGATCAATCGACATATCGGGAAGCACGCCGTGCCACTGATGAGTAATAAGACTACTAACTAACGGCAACTTACGAGAGACCCTACAATTAGTCCATAATCAACAACCACCCGTTTCAACCAATAGGATCGCTGCATGCTCCGTTTGTCCTCTTTGTTTATCGCTTTGTGCATCAGTTTCAATAATCAGCCCGCAAGAATGAACCAAGTTTTTTTGGCGAGCAAGGTGTGTGCAGTTGGTTCCTTTGCCCGCATCAATTTGGCTCTGTTTGTATTTTCGAGAGGGAAATCAAACCATTCTTCTTTTTAGAAGGTTCTTGGTGCAAATTTGTCTTTTTTCTCAAAAATTAACAGATCAAGCCGTTGTAGTCGTTTACAATTTCAATCTTGGAACACAAACATCTCTTCGTGAGATGTTAAAAAAAAAATTTCACAGTAAAAAGGAGTTGCTTTCCAAAAAACTTCACTCCATTCTGCTCAAATTAATCTATATGCACCCTGAAAAAAAAAATGAACAGTATCTAAATAAAATCGTATTTTTTCCTGATTTTTGGTGGCAAATGATAAATGAACGATCTGTCACCTCTGGTAGTTTCATGTCTATCTGTAGTTTTTAAAATAATTTTAAGCGTAAAATATGATGAAGCAACTTGATTTGCAATGGGGTTCCCCGGTATTCTGCCGCCATTTACATCACGTCCCGCCGAAATCGGGCGATGAGCATAATTTGATGTGCGTAATTGGCGTGACCAACGGGGGTGCTTATCGGCATTCGCGGCCCGGCCGGCCGTGCCCTCGGAGAGCAGAGAGGATGCTCAGCTGGAGACCTTATCTTCATTCTTGCACAAAGGTACTCCAGGCTGCAGGACCAGTCCCGGAAAAAGGGAGGGGGGGGGGACAATGGGAAATTATCGTAAATAATGGAACGGCAATTGCCATTTGCAAGTGACGTTGAGACGCATCGGTATTCATTGCAATACCGTTGCAATGTTGCCAGTTAGAGCGAAAACTCTTGCATGCCGTCTGCACCACGGATGACCATAGTGATGTTACTGATTCACACTGAGAAAAATATTTCAGTCAATAATTCTGGGGACGAGAAGCCTTTTTGAGTAGAACGGAATTATTCCTCAAGTGACATGGATTCTCTTTAAAACGACAGAATTGCCGTTTGGGTCAAGGAGATGTGAGGTTGACTCATTTTGAATTTTCGTCCAGGAATTATAATAGTAATTTCTATTGATCCAACAAACAAATTCTTTTCGTGAAGAGGGCAGTAACTGAAGAAATGAACTGTTGAGAAAATGGACCAAAAGGTGTTAGAGCTAAAAATTCTATTGAATTAGGCTTCTAGTGTTCGAAAGATTGTCCATAATACAAAGAGCCATGCACAAAAAGGGCCAAAAACGCCCTCGAAATTGGGGTCGGAGTGAGGTTTTTTTTCATCCTTAGGGTGACCCTTTACACATACTAAAATTTCAGATTGAGTATACGCACCGTTTCCGAGTTATGGGGGGGGGGGGGGCAA